AAGAATTGATGCCTTTGAATTGTGGTGCTGGGGGAGGCTCTTGAGAGTCCCCTGGACTACAAGGAGAACATGTTGAGAGTTTGGTTTGTACTAAAACTCGTATGAATTCCAGTACAATGCGCAGCAAGAAGTGTCAGCCAGTTCAGGCAGAATTAGCTAGAAGTTCCCTTTTGTACCCGCCCCTCACCAAACACTAGCACTCAAGAAATAACACTCAGGAGGCCTTATTTTGTATAAAAGGAAGAAATCTATATTCTACTCACGAAGATAAGCATTTAGAAGGTTTCAGGTAGATACAGGAATAAAAATAGCAAATACAATGTTCTTCTCTTCTGGCCCCACGTGGCTGGAGGGATTTTCCAGGCTCAGTGGGCCGGCATGGAGTTCTTACATCTTTCCAAGAATGGTCACCAACAATGGTGGTTCAATCACCTCATGGCCAGGAGGGCCGGAAACAGGGGTGGAGCCTCCCTACCCGGGAACAACAAACTCCCACTAATTGGTCAGCATGCAAACAAACAAGCAAACAAGTTAGTTTGTGTTGCAGGCCCTTCCCCCTTTGAAATTTACATCTAGATTGCTTGACCATCCAACAGAAAAAACCTATCCATTCTAAAGGAAATCAAGCCTGAGTCCTCACTGGAGTGAAAGATCCTGAAGCTGAGGCTCCAGTACTTTGGCCATCTCATGGGAAGAGAAGACTCCTTGGAAAAGACCTTGATGTTAGGAAAGTGTGACGGCAAGAGGAGAAGGGGACAACAGAGGATGAGATGGCTGGACAGTGTCTGCGAAGCAACCAACATGAAATTGACACAACTACAGGAGGCAGTGGAAGATAGGAGGGCCTGGTGTGCTCTGGTCCATGGGGCATGAAGAGTCGGACACGACTAAACAACTAAACAACAACAACAACACTTCTCCTTTCCACAGCACTTGGCTTAAGGGTGCCAGGCCCAATGTGCAGTTCAAAATCCGTTTATAACTCATATGCCCCCGCCCCACAAACATAACTACAAAGCATAAACGGTTGATTCATATGGACTTATACATACACGCTAGACATGGGGACGAAGTGCCAAAATGGTGCTTCATCTTGGTTTGTGGGTTGTCAAACTTGACAAATCAATTAGTTGTCATTTTTTTTGGATAGCCTGTGGGGCTATCTTAAAAAAAGAAAGAAAAAAAGCCCTGCCCCCTTCAGCCTCCCTATGCCCCGTGGGAACCATCCTACAGCCGCACTGCCTTACCAAAACCTCATTGTCATGCGGATTCGTTTTGCGAGGTCGTCACCTAGCGGGGCACCACTGTAATGATACATACTGTATATAGATATACAGAGATAGAGACAGACTGATCTAATGCAGTTCCAATGCAGTTAACAATTATGAAATATTTACTCCTCACTGAGGTTATGTTCAGCCTAAAAATCAAAACTGGAGAATTGTCAGGACAGTCCAATGTTTATGAAGTTGTACCACAAGATATCAACTTCATTTCTTCCCATCTGTTTCTTGGTGAATAAGCTTCCAGCTGCAAAAAATATAGTAACATACTTGTCAAGTGGATTTTTTTAAGGAATAAAAGCATACTCTTTGGAATTTCTCCTCTGCAACCATTCTGATATTGATTGAATAAAATAAGAGAAGCCTACTAGGTTGTTGTTGTTGTTTTTTGCATAATCCCTTTTTGTCATAGTACACGTCCATTTTAACAGAGGTGATCTGAGTATTGAAACTAAACAGCCCTTGTACACAAAAATCCATTCCTCTTTACTCAAATCATTCTTTGCTTCTGTGCTATACGTTATATGGAAGAGGAACCTTTTATTGCTTTCATTGTGAAATAAGTGGTGATTGGAAATCCTTGCCAATCTATTACAAATCACCCAGAAATCTACTTTCTGCCCTTGCCCCCAGTACCACAAAAAAAGCAGATCCATTTGAAGCAGGAAGAGGGAGAAATATCTGCAGTCAATAGTATGAATCAATCGAGAAACTCAAATTCACACCAAAAGTAAATGCACACCAGACATGTTTTTGAAAATTAACAAGTCTTTTCTAACTTCAGTTACTGTTATGCAAAAAGGATGCAAACTCTTGAAAGTCTTTTGAGACCGAGATATTTCCTTCCTCATCCGCAGGCATCTGCACCAGATCTCCACTGCTTATATTTAGGTAAGGGTGAGAGACATGTGTTCGGGTATTCCATACTTTTCTTTGTTTTTCTCAAATAATCTTTGCAGTTCCTGCAGATATATCTTATGGAGTTGGTCAATCTCTTCAAGGGTGGGATTTGGATTCTGTTTCACAGCAATAGGATTCCCAACTACAAAGACACAAAAACATTGTATGTAACAGAAATGGGAAACATGTAGCCCTACATCTGTGGTTGTACTGCAACTACTAGCTATGCTGGCCAGGGTTGATGGGAATCGCATTCCAGCACTTGAAAGGCTGCCCATTTCCCACTGTGGATATAAGTGCTCTGCCTCTAAGTCAATAACCTGGATTGTTTTAGTTTAAAACAGCCTTTTTAGGCTTTGCTTTCATTTCTATGAAAGACAGTAATCCATATATTTATAATTTTAAGAAGCTGCAAGAAATTTAACATCTTCACACTGGCAGAGCTCTGCAAACTATCATAGAATAATTGAATTGTAAGGGGTCTTTAAGACCATTGTCCAACCTCCTGCTCAACGCAGGAATCCAAATCAAAGCAAATCTGTATGATGGGGGATGCTTTCCCTGTTTGATTGAATTGTTAAAATTTTTATTTTGTCAATTTATTGTGTGCTTTTTCTGTTAAAAGTATATTTTTGGTGAGGGTTTTTTGGGGGGGGACTCTTCTGTTTGTTTCTGTGGGAATGTGTTCACCAGGGGGGTGGACTTTGTGACTATACCACACTGAGTGAATGTGGTGATATAAACTAGTGCCTGCAAAGATCTGATAATGATTTTTCTTTGTCATTTACTGTTGTCTGCTTTTGGAGTAGACTGATTCTTTGTTGTCTTGCCTCTGCTTTTTCAGAGTAGAGTTTTAAATGGTTCTTTAAGTACCAGTTTCAAATGTTTTCCTCTTTTATTTTCTAGAAAAAGGACATACTCTCTAAGAAAAGAACACATCTCAAAGAATAGATGCCTAGTCTTCATAGCAACAAAAGTGTATATTTAAATATCCACAAAGAAAATCCAAAACTGGAAAAAGAACTCACCAACTGTATGAATAGGTTTCCTATAAGGCATCAAGCCGAAACTATATTGAAAGACCCCTCGGCCATGAAACAGAGGCATAGCAAATCCCATAATCTTCTGTAGCTTTTCTTGCCATGTTCTCAGCAATGTTCCTTTCGGATTGGCAACTTGCTTGAACAATTCATTTTCACCAAAAGAAAACACTGGAACTAGCTGAGCCCTGTCAGAGAAAAATAATATGTAGCAGGTTAAGAAGGGGGAGAACATTCCATTAGGATATTTCACATCAAACATGTCAAGTTAAACATAGGTTTTAAAAAGCTTGTTCGTTTATTTTATTTATAGTCTGCATTCTCCTCAATTCAGGGACTCAAAATGGCTTAGGAAATGGCAATGGGGGAAGAAAACTAGAATATAAATTTTAAAAATTTAAAAATTCAATGAAATATCACAATATTAAATGTCATTAAATGTAAAGCAATCTAAAAACAAAAGAAAATAACGTACATATATAAAATGTTTGCCTTTTTAAAATAAAACTTTTTTTCTCTGCAGCTAAAAACTTGCCTTTAAAGATCTTTGCTGTCGTTAAGAGGTCAGCAAAGGAGGGCCCAACCTACTTTTCCAGGGAAAGAAGTTCCTTGTCTTGGGAGTAACCCCTAAATCAGCCTTCTATGGAGCTTGAACCAAAAATACTTACTAGGCTGGTCGGATTGACAGAAGGGCTTCCCCAGGACATCTTGAAACCTGAAGAGGTTCAAGTGGGAACATGTAATCTAAGCCAGTGGTTCTTAACCTTTTTGAAAGAAACGCCCCCTTGAGCCATTGAGGAAGTTATCATCGCCCCCCCTCCCCGCAGTGATGATATCTTATTTGTTTGTTTGTTTGTTTGTTTGTTTGTTTGTTTAATACACTTAAATCCAATGACCCCTAAAAACAAAATTAAATTCCAAGAAAATGAAATGCCCCCCAAAAAGTAACATTTAATGATTTAGTTGCAAGTGAATTTTGAGGTTCATGTGGGAACATGTAATCTAAGCCCTCTAGGTCAGAAATTCTAACTTTCAAATGCACCACTTGCATTTAACTCCACTGTAATTAGACTTTTTAAAAAAGAAATTTATTCAGCAAACTACTGGCTCTGGGAAAAGTTTAATAAACAGTATAATTAAGCCTTGATTTAGACAATTGAATACTGGATAGCTTAGTGGCTTAGGTTTCTGGCTGTGAAACCAGAGGCTGGGAGGTTCAGTTCCCCACTGTGCCTCTTTGATATGAGCTGGATTCAATGATACAGGTTCTTGGTTATACAAATCCTGATAAGGGGGATTCAGTGAGTTGTAATATGACTAAAGTATTCTATGAACTTCAGTCCAAACATGCAGTTTTTCCAAGCTCTGGTTAAAAACAGCAGCTATTTATATAATGTTAGCTCACAAGGCCACTTAGCTTAATACATCATACATTGTAAGACTGCTGAAACAGAAATGTGTTTCTGCTAAAATCATACAGTTCTTGATTTTCAAGTCTCTACAGATTACATAGCTCCAAAAATGGAAAAGACTGTATATTAAGCCATTTTAAAAAGACAAAAAGAGCTTTCCAATAGAGGATAAAGGAAGATAGGATTAGGAAAGGTTTAGGAAATTACTGTTGGCTGTCTCTTTTACCCAGAAATTAAACTAGAAATTATGGAGATGCATTTTGAAATAAGAAAGCAATATATAAAGGAAGGGAAAGGTCTGTGTGGTTATTATTGGCCAATAGCCCATTTAGAAACCGTGACTGGGGAAAAAACGGTAAGAAAGAGGAAGTTACGACACAGTCTGTTTCACTGGCACACTGTGAGGAAGGTCAGTCAGTTGTTGTCCCAAGGCTGTGGTTCTCCACCCTCTTCCCTGGAAACAAAGCTTACATATATGCAGCTGTTGTATACACTGCATAATCATAGGATCTCAGAATAATGGAGTTGGAAGGGGCTTATAAGGCCCTGGACTTCAACTACTGCAAGAATCCAAATCAAAGTAAACCTGACAGGAAGTTGTCTAATTTGCTCTTGAATGCCTCCAGCACTAGAGATAATGGGTTCCATTACCATAGTGATCTAACAGGAAGTTTTCCTAATAATCAACTGAAATTTGGCTTATAACCTTAGAACTGCAGAGTTGGAAGGGGCCCTATGAATCATCGAGCCCAGCCTCTGTCAAGGAGGCACCGTGGGGAATCAAACTACTGTACCAAACTGTGGCTAGAGACCTAAACAACTGAGCAATCCAGCAGTTCAAGTGGCTAGAGGCCTAAACAACTGAGCAATCCAGCAGTTCAAGGACAGAAGGGATACAGATTTCCTGTAACTTGAGCTGATTATTATGAGTCTTGCATTCTAGAAGGACTGAAAACAGATTCTGTCCCTCCTCTGTATGATGACCTTTCAAGTATTGGAAGAGTGTTATTCTATCTCCTCTCAGCTGTTTTTTTCTGATGATATGTATTCATGTATACAATATTGAAACAGCGCCGTCCTCCTCTGTATGATGACCTTTCAAGTATTGGAAGAATGCTATTCTATCTCCTCTCACATGTTTTTTCTGATGATATGCATTCATGTCATACTGGTTTACAGATTAATATCTGACTTCATAGTTCCATGTACAGTGCATCCCTTTTATACTCACACATATGCAATGAAGCACACAAACAGTTATTGTAAGTGTTGGAGGATGACAGAAGAAGATATGGGCAGGTGTGGCCCTCCAGATATTTTTGGCCTACAACTCCTTTGAGCCCAACCTCACAGCGCAGTTCAGAAACATCTTGAGGGCCATATTTACTCATGCTTGACTCAGTGACTCAAGCACTCTGTCAATGTCATCAGTTGTTACTACCAATACTAATCATAATAATACCAAAAATTAAGGAGCCTGGATGAGTTCATTCCCATTCAGGCAATGGAGTTCCTTCACCCATACTGTAGTAGGACTCATTTTCACAGTCACTGCCTGGTTATTCCTTACTAAGCAGATCAAATACTGTTTCAAAGATTTCTCTGAGACATCTTTCTCAACTGGATTCCTGCAGTGAGACATTCTTCTCAACTACCTTCCTTTGCAATGCATTTCAAAGTTTACCTCAGATTTTATTTTCATTACATCCTGCAGAATGATAAATCACACTACAGTGGATCCATTGAATCAATGGAGATTTGAGGAGTCAAGTCCCATTTATTCAAATGGGCCTCCTCTAACTGTAATGTACTTTAGCACAATAGATCACAACTACAGTAGGCCCATTTGAATCAACAGAACCTACAGAAGAATTTACTCACTAAATCTCCATTGATTTGATGAGCCTTCTCTAGTGCGATTTACTGTATGAAGCAATAGGATTTTGGCTAATGTCCATTAAAATATGAGTTCTTCAGATTCCCAATAAATGCCATTCTACACATTTATTCTCTAAGCATGCCATCTTGGTATAGAACTTACCCATGTTTCAAAGCAACTTTAATGAACCCTTTCCTTTTGAGAACATTAAGAGTTATGCTTTCAGGATGAGCATCCAAAGACTCTTCTGCCCCTCCAATTACAATCACAGCAACATTTCCCCCTCTTTCATTGCTCAGCACATGAGACACACTCTTCTTTGATGCTGAGACCATTCCTGAAAGAAAAACTCATTCAACTTACTACAAATGCTGTGCTGAGTCTTGTAGCTGTTTATAGCCATTATACATATATTAATCCTGAAATCAAACTAAGATGGCAAACAGCAATTGGAACAGGAGGAAAGGAAGGCTCAAGTCCTCCACAAGACACTACAGACTTGATCTGGAGCAGACTCCCCCTACTAGTTGCTGTTTAAAGATACAGAAGAAGAGGAACCCAAGCATGGGCTTCAAATACGCATCTGACACCTATATACCCTGTTTCCCCAAAAATAAGACCTAACCTGAAAATAAGCACTAGTATGATTTTTCAGGATGCTCGTAATATAAGCACTACCCCAAAAATAAGTCCCAGTTAAGTGAAACCCCGCCCTCCACCATTGTGCAGCAACCAGAAGAAGATGACAGGACAGTATTTGAATCAATGTAGATTGCTGTACATAGGTAAAAAATAACATCCCCTGAAAATAAGCCCTAATGCATTTTTGGAGCAAAAAATAATATAAGACCCTGTCTTATTTTCAGGGAAACAGGGTAGTTTAATGCAAAAACATGCAGAAATTATGACATTAAACTACTCCAATGTGAACATATGGAAAAATCCCATAAGATCAGAACTTGGAAAGTCACATTTTATACAACATGACTGCTTATCTACAGTTTAAGGTTCCAGAATGAAGTTAGCTATCATTGTTGTTGCAGTTCTCAAAAAGCAACCCTCTTTCTTCTTATTAAAAAGTAACATAAGCGGTTACTTTTAATTGTTTTTTTTTAATTGGAAGGTAACAAACAGCCGAAGTAGAGAGACCATATACTCCTATGACGATAGCCTACTCAGGTGTTTGTTTCTCTCTCAAGCAGCCACACATGCTCCAGCCCATCCCCTGTACTCCTGACTTTCCCATGTTCGTAGGGAAAGTCCAAAAAAATTGTCTGAAAGAGGTGCCCTCTTTTGCAGTGCCTGCTTCAATTCCAGGTCATGCATAGCACCACCAGAGAAACATGCAGTCAGAATAAGTTTAAGCAATGAGGAATCAAAGTAGGGAGTCAGTCCCTTTTACTGGCATAACTCACTAGAGGATTATGGGCACAGAATCAATGGACTTCCATACATACTGACTCCACTTCTGCAATTAAGTCTGTGGGTCCATCCCAGCTGAAACTAGCAACTGCACAGTGCAGCCCTCTGTGAATGTCAAGTCCCATCAGGTCTAGCCAGCACTGCCAAAGACAGAAGAATGGCAGGAGTTGCAGATCCACAACATTTGTGGGTCACATATTGCCCACCCCAGTTTAATCCTCTGGTCAGGATCCAATACAACACCAACAGAGCAAAAAGTTGGACCAGTGGGAAGCATAAAGCTGGTACAGTGAGCCGTTCTTGCATTTCACAGTGGGCAGTTCTAGCACTTGGTGGTGGTTCAGGGGGCTGGGTTGGCAAAGCAGTGCTCCAATGCCTAGCTAATGCTTGACTGGCATGTCAGCTGCTCTGTTGCACTGCCTGGCCTCTGTGCGTTGACAAGAGCCACTTGGGTCTGGAAGCATGGGAGGACTCCTTGCACCAGCTTGGAAAATGTACAACCAGTTACACAACCCAAGACTCTGCTGCTGACAGATTCTGGGCCCAGCCTGATGCCCTGTAGATGCAACTGGCTGCAACCATGTCAGCTAGAGATGATGGAAGTTGCAGCTCAACATATTGCCAGCTTGAGAGAAGTTGGCTGAAATAAATACAGCATCTGAAGGAATTGTTAAAATGACCTAACTTTACTTACCTGCACACATAATATAATCTCTGAAAAAAGGACATCTGAACCAGAAAGGCAGGATATGAAGATATGGAGTCAGACCAGGGAACAGCTTCTTAAATCCAGTATATTCAGTGCAGAAGTTTCCAAAGGCTCCAGCAACAAGGACACCATGAGGGTGAAATCCAAAGAGATAATTTTTACTTGGATCCAAATCAGAAGTCTTTATGAGCTGCAAATAACACCCATTAAAGTGTTTACTCCATTTTGTTTATAAACAAGAGAAGTGACTTTTTCTGAATTTACAACTATAGGCAATTCTGCTCCATGTTCTTATTGTGGAAGTGTTACATGTTTCCTCAGAAGTAAATTCAATTCCATTCAAAGGCATGTACTCCAACATAAATGCACTGGACGACAGCCATAACTTATTAATTATAAGAATCACATAGCCTAACCCTGTGTACTTTTACCAAGAAGAGCAGGTTGAAACTGTGTTGATTAATGTAAAAAGCATAGCATAGGCTCATTCAACCAATGGGAATTTAGTGAGTCAACTTCTCTGTAAGTTCCACTGATTCAAATGTATCTACTCTAGTTGCAACTTATTATACTAAAGTAAATCACAGAGTAGACCTATTTGAATCAATGGAACTTACAGAGGAGTTGATTCACCAAATTTCCACTAATTCTGTGGACCTACTTTGGTTTGCTTTCTTATACTAAACAGCAGAATTTCAACCAATATGTTTATCATCACTGATTTATGGAGACTGCTATTTATTTATTTATTAGAATTCTATCCTGCCCATCTAGAGTCTAGACCAAGGGTCTAGTCAGATCTGTATGCATCTTACATGCCAGTTGCAAGCAGAAATGAACGGGAGAAGATGTTCTACTCATATCTTGCTTGTGGGCTACCACAAGGTAACTGGTTGCCTGAACAGAATGGTAAATTACAGTCGTCGTTCTATTTGCCATTTACATTTTTGTTATATTTTGTTATATTTCAAAAAAAGAACACTGAAAAGGGTCAGCCTTTATATGATCCACTACATGATAACGGTCATTATTTCTAAGTAAGACATTGTTGCTCCTCCACAGATTTGGGCTTCAACTTCCAGAAGCTCCAGCCAACACAGCTAATGATAAAGGGTTATGGATGGTTTAATTCAAAATACTGGGGGGAAAGGTAAGATATTAAGATTTTAAAAAAAAGAACACTGAAAAAGGTCAGCCTTTATATGATCCACTACATGATAACGGTCATTATTTCTAAGTAAGACATTGTTGCTCCTCCACAGATTTGGGCTTCAACTTCCAGAAGCTCCAGCCAACACAGCTAATGATAAAGGGTTATGGATGGTTTAATTCAAAATACTGGGGGGAAAGGTAAGATATTAAGATTCATTGTTTTATGATTCACTGCCTTCTGTCCTTACCTAAAAAAATTAAGTCACTGCTAGAAAGAGAACTGCTTTAACTTTTGTCATCTTCTTTTCAACCAGTATTTTATAATTCAGAACTGTTCAATAGGAAAAATGCCTTTTCTGAAATTATTCTACATATACAAGCTTCTTGCCCTATTTGGGTTCATGTTCACTTGTTTGTCATTTTCTCTCATTGGCTGAAATCCTGTACAGCCTGGGGAAGTATAAAGATACACAAGCAGTTGGTTGCCTGTGTTACACTCAGGCAACCAACATTGTGCAATACTGTACAATCATTCAACTAATTGTGCACTTTTCATCACGACTGTTGTTTGGCATGTGTGGTGAAAAGTGGTTAGTGAATAGCATTTCTGCCTTGCCGCTGTTTTCCATACAATTTCTGCAAGCATGCAGCTGCACAACAAGATTTCAGCTGTTGTTTGGGCATTGGTTCCTGGTATTTGCAGTTCACACAGCAAAATGTCAGCACAGGATTAATAAAAGTAAGGAAAAAAAAAAGAGAGATGCAAGTGACAGGCTTTATTTGCCAAGTAGATTTACTGCTTGCTAATAGAGAAGGCAGTAAGACTCATCAGCAAACATATTGACTCACTGACAGCTGCCAAGACACCACAGAAAGTCTTGGGACATTAAAAAATGAACAGGTTTTATCACACATAAGCAGTCATTGCCTGTAGTCCACTTCTTCAGATGCAAGCCTATGTCTTCAGATACAAATACAATGTTCTGCCTTGATACTGGTTCCTCCTCAAAATTATTGTACAGACTCCCCCCCCCAAAAAAAGCAGAAGTTGAATTCCACATTTTCAGCAGTACTTTTAGCTTCTATCCCAGTAAAACTGACAAAAATACTTAATAGAGACATGCAGTGTCAGGGCTCAGTTTGGTTGGAATTGCTAGCCCCACAGATTAATTTTCACCATTCCCTATGGGATTTTACTTACATGGATTGGAAAGTATTCCTTAAAGTACCTCCACACCATCCAGTTTCTGACCCACTGAGATCTCCTCCCTCCAGTGTGAGGTGATTCCCAGTCAAGGTAGAGCCAGAGTGCATAAAACGCTGAGATAAACCAGTAGTCCCCAAAAAGGAAGATCATAAAGATGCCACAGCAACACTGTGCTAAAAAGGAAACAAAGACCACAAAATATTTGAAATAATCCAATTGCAATTTATTCTCAATACAGTTTTCTCCTCCTTTCTCATTGTGCATTGTTCCCTTCTGTGAAGGAGAATTGAAAGAAAGTGATCCGTCTTCAACAGGAGAGGCGGTCAGAGAGGAAAAAGGAAGTTGCAGTATGGAGGCATCTAAGGGAAGAGAAGTCCTAGGGAAAGAGGCGGGAAAAATAGAAGAGATGAAGGGAAAGGTTGAGGTCTGTTTGGTGGTGGAGGGAGAGAAAGGAAAAGGGGAGGAGCAAAGGATGTTAGTTTGGGAAGAAAGTATAAATACCCAGGGGGAGAGGTGGTTTGGCAGTAGATTTGAAAACAAGGGATTGAGAAGAAAGGAAGGACGAGATAGACCAGAGACTATGAGAAGGCGTGTGGGCTCTTGAAGGATTTTCCGAACCTGAAGGCTGGTGGACTGTTACTTGACCCCGAAACCAAAGGAGGGAGAGACCGTATGTGAGACACACGAGTGAACAGTGATTGTCTTTCTGTGCGGGCAAGGAAGAGGCAAAAAAGGTGATTCGGCCAGATCCCACCTACAATAAACCACCTAAAGAGGGAGGCTGGGCGAGGCACCCATTTTGCGGAACCATCTGCACAGTGAGGAGTGCTCCCCTGCGGATCGGGAGCATTTTGGCCCAGCACCCCAATGAGTTATCTAGACTTTCATCGCAAGTTAGTTTCTTCAAGTTATTGCCTGATTTATCTTGCTTTGATCCAATTGAAATCATCGTTGAAAGATTAGAAACCAATAAAAGTGAAATTGTGAATCCAACTGACAAGCCTCCATTGTTATTTCCCTCCAAAAGTGAGGAACTGCCAAAAATTTTAAATGAACCCGATCACACCTCCATACACCAAGTTGAAGGAGATCAAATTTCATGCATAGGTCTTCCAAGACTGTAAACCCTCAAACTGTGGAAGCACCATTTCTTTAGAGATTAAAACAAGACCAAGATTTTTACAAGGCTCTGTCATACAAGAAAAGAAGCCCTGCTGAGGTCTTGTAAACCTTTTGCTTCCTTTAGGGAATCAATCCATCTCATATTTGGTCTCCCTCTTTTCCTGCAGCCTTCCACCTTTGCCAGCTTTATTGTCTTTTCCAGAGAATCCTGTCTTCTCATGATGTGCCCAGACCCACTTGTTCATATTTCTTGCAATTAAGGGTATCATGCTATTCTCCAGTAAGGTAAAGGTAAAGATTACCCTTGACAAATGTCCAGTCGTGTCCAACTCTAGGGGGTGGTGCTCATCCCCGTTTCCAAGCTGTAGAGCCAGCGTTTGTCCATAGACAGTTTCCGTGGTCACGTGGCCAGCACAACTAGACATGGAATGCCATTACCTTCCCACCGTGGTGTTACCTATTAATCTACTCGCATTTTTACATGCTTTCGAACTGCTAGGTTGGCAGGAGGCTATTCTCCAGCACCATATTTCAAATGATCCATTTTTCCCCTGTTAGCCTTCTTCATTCTCCAGTGTGGTGTAGTGGATAGAGTGATGGACTAGGACTCTGGAGAACAATGTTCGAAACTGACCAGGGGAGTGGAACTGGTAAAACTAGTCTTTAGATGCCTCACTTACCTTGAATGCTCGATTAGGGTTGCTATAAGTTGGTTCTGACTTGACAGCACAGAACACACAGAGATGTCATGCACATTACTAGAAACCCTGACAAGATTTTCAAGGTATGTTAGATATTTAAGGAGGTCTTTTACCATTGCTACCTCCTCCCAGTGACTCTCCATGCTCTCACTAGGATTTGAACCCAAGTCTCCTGAGTCTGAGCCAGGTCATTTTATCTACTACTACACCACACTGGCTTTCAAATAATATTTCCCAAATGTATTTCCTTGCCTTATGTTAAAACTTTTATTTGGGTTTTGTCCTCCAAAGCGATACTGAAGCCACAGATGGAAGAGGTAGGGAAATCAAGTTTTATTTTACATTAAAAAGATCAACTCTAAAGAGAGCTTGGTTGCAGTAGATACTTTTCCAATCTCTGACTACAACGTCTACCCTGCATGATTGCATTCAATTCTACTACAAAATACAATAATGGTAAGAAAAGGTGAAGGTGGTAGAAAAAGGAGTGTGAACAATAAATAGAGTGATTCAATAAAGGAAGTCACAACTTTTACTTTGCAGGACCTAAGCAGGGCTTTTAAGGAAAGCTTTTGAAGGTCGTTCATTAATTCATAGGGAGAGCTTAGAAAAGTTATACTTTTGATTTATAACATCCACAAATCCCAAACTATCCTGGCCAATAGCCATGCCAGCTGGAGATTATGGGAAGCACATGATCTCTACCAGAAGCACCACAAAGCACACATAGGTTTATAAATCAGAAGTGATTTGATTGCAAATCACAAGCACTATGAATAAGTTGTACTTCAGTCTTTCCTAGCCAGATGTCATATGGGCTGTGGATGATGGATACTAGACTCCAACACATCCAGAGGACACCAGATTTGGAAAAACTGCTTGACTGTTTGCCAGACCTGAGCAAGGGGCAAGATCTGTTCTTGATCATCCCAGAGTGCAGGACACGGAACAATGTGCTCAAGTTAAAGGAAGCCAGATTTCGATTGAATATCAGGAAAAACCTCCTAACTGTTAGAGCAGTACAATAGTGGCACCAGTTACCTCAGAAGCTGGTGAGTGCTCCAGCACTGGAGGCATTCAAGAAAAACTTGGATAATCACCTGGCAGATATGCTTTGATTGTATTCCTGCGTTGAGCAGGGGGTTGGACTTGATGGTCTTGTAGGTCCTTCCAATTTCACTTTTCTATGATACTATGATTCTATGAAGGGGGTATGCCTTTTTGTAGGTTGTTCATTCATAAGGTTGCCATAAATTGAGAATGACTTAATAATACAGGATGCAACACCGCCTGCTTTTTCTCCCCTTTCCTTGCAGGCTGCAATTTGGAAGATCCAGTTTCTCTGTTAGGTATCTCATATTACCTTCATAACGTAATGTGAGATACCTAATGTTTCTCTTCAGCAGAATAGGATCAATTAATTACTCAGAAACTGTGGATCCACCAGTCCATCTTTTTAGAACATGGTCCCATGGGAAGTAATGTGACTGGATGAAAGCAACCAAAACTCGCTATCAGGGTGTACAATGCAGTTGGCCAATGTTCAGTTTCCATAAACAGTACTGAACAGATCTAGCCTATGGTTGATTGTGCAGCCAGACCAAATGCATACCTGTTTGGACGCGGATTTTGGAAAAATGACTTTTTTGGCCAACCCTCTGAATCTCCCAGCCTGCCCCTCCCCCACAAGGAAGTCTTAGGAAATTAAACGGGCTTGAGTCACAAGCAAACATGCAGTGGCTTTCCAGGTTGCTAGAGAGTAGGTCACATCCTGAGCTAGGTCTTGTTGCTGTTGTGATGTGCCCTCCAGGCAAAACTGACTTAGAGAAACCCTGACAGGGTTTTCAAGGTAAGTATGGGATGGCATTTAACCAGTGGTTTAAACAGTTCCACTCCCTCAGTGAGGTTCCAGGGCAGAGTGGGTATTCGAACCTTGTTTTCCATAGTCCTAGTCTCTCGTTCTATCCACTACATCACACCAGGTTTTCCAACCTAGTAAACATGTCTAGGACTGAAGGTAAAGCCCCTTTACTCTGAGCTAACCCTCTCCCTTGTTCCACAAGTCCTTAGTAAAGAGTAAGCTTATGCGCCTGTTTGAGATCGGTTTAACTCAGCGGAATTGGCTCCCAATGTAGGTGCAGGGCTGTCCACTTGTTTAGACTTTGAGACAGTCCCGATCCAACGTTCATTTTATCCGGAGGTAGACCCTGTTCAATTCAGCTGGAACTCTCACTTCCAAGTAACCGCGCGAAGAACTGCGCGACAAGTCCGTCTTAAGCACGTTTATTAGAAAGCAAATACCGTCCCCGTTCAGTTGGGTTTGCCCTCTTAAAGACGGAGGGGCACGGCTGGGACTCAAGCCTACCAGCACGTTTAGGAGGAAGCGCGCCCCCCCCCTCAACTTAAGACCAGAGGTCCTTGCAAACCGAGGCGGTCAGGATCGGGCGCAAGAACCACGGCGGTGGATGCGTCCAAGAAGCGAAAGAGCGGTTACCTAGCAGCAGGAAGGAGAAGACCCACTGAAACACGGCCGCTGTCTGTAATCTTCTGGCCAGGGGAATATTGAGCGGGGCAAATTCGACCTTCATGCCGCGCCTGGCTCTGCCCGGAAGGGTCAAGGAGGCTTCGCCGTCCGGGAAAGGCGAGGAGGCGCCGCCAAGCGAACACAGCCCGCTTCGCCTTCGGGAACTGGGCGGCGGCCTGGCGCTCCCGGGGCGGCGCAGGGCAGCCCATTCACTGCAGGGCGCCCCTTCCACGTTTGGGGACGGGCAGCGCCCGCGGGGCCCTCCGGCCTCGTCCAGTCCAGCCGCCCGAGGTCTCCCGTGAGCCCCACCTACTTAGCGCTTGTCTCCCAAAGGCCTCAAGGGCACGAGGGTCAGTCCTGGGGGAACGAGCGGAGGGGAGACCACAGGGGCCACGGCGGGCCGAGGCGAGAAGGCAGGGCTCGGGGAGCAACCGGTGGCGGCTGCGGGAGGACTGTGGAGGAGGAGGCGAGTGCGTTACGGGGGTGGCGGCACGTGTTTTGTCCCAAACGTCTGAAGATCGACACCTGAAGTCAATGCAGACAGAGGTTTGGACGGGAACCGGTTGCGCCCCCTTATTTTACTCCCCCCTCCCCCGTTTAGAGTTTGGATGTGAAAAACGCTTTTCGGTCTTTGCAAGCCTAACGATGTGTCTCGGAGCTGCTTGCCCACTTCTGGCGCCGCCTAGGCGAAGGTCCGGTTGTCTTTCAAAGGTTCTTGCTTCGTAGTTGTTTAGTCTTCGTGACCCCGTGGACCAGAGCACGCCAGGCCCTCCTGTCTTCTACTGCCTCCCGGAGTTGTGTCAGGTTCATGTTGGTTGCTTCGCAGACACTGTCCAGCCATCTCGTCTTCTGCTGTCCCCTTCTCTTGCCTTCACACTTTCCCAAGATCAGGGATTCTTCTCTTCTCATGAGATGGCCAAAGTATTGGAGCCTCCGCTTCAGGATCTGTCCTACCAGTAAGCATTCAGGGTTGATTTCCTTCAAAATGGATAGGTCTCTTTGCAGTCCAGGGGACTCTTAAGAGTCTCCTCTAGCACCACAATTCAAAAGCATCAATTCTTCTTTTGTTAGCCTTCTTTATGGTCCAGCTCTCACTTCCATACATCACTACTGGAAAAACTATAGCCTTGACTATGCAGACCTTTGTCGGCAAGGGGATGTCTTTGCTTTTTAAGATGCTGTCTAGGCTTATCATCGCTTTCCTCCCAAGAAGCAGGCGTCTTTTAATTTCGTGGCTGCTGTCACCATCTGCAGTGATCATGGAGACCAGGAAAGTAAAATCTGTCATTGCCTCTATATCTTCCCCTTCTATTTGTCAGGAGGGGATGGGACCAGGGGCCATGATCTGAGTTTTTTTTATATTCGGCTTCAGACCATTTTTGCACTCTCCTCTTTCACCCTCATTACGAGGTTCTTTAATTCCTCCTCACTTTCGGCCATCAGAGTGTTATCATCTGCATAACTGAGGTTGTTGATATTTCCTCCGGCAATCTTAATTCTGGCTTGGGATTCATCTAGTCCTGCCTTTCGCATGATGTATTCTGCATATAAGTTAAATAAGCAGGGGGACAATATACAGCCATATTGTACTTGTTTCCTAATTTTGAACTAATCAGCTGTTCCATATCCAGTTCTAACTGTTGCTTCCTGTCCCGCATATAGATTTCTCAGGAGATAGACAAGGTGGTCAGGCACTCCCTTTTTTTTTAAGAACTTGCCATAGTTTGCTGTGGTCCACACAGTCAAAGGCTTTTGCCTTTTTGCCTTGTAGTATTGAGGCACAATCCTGTCCGTGATAGAAATGCGGGTGGAAGAAATGAAAGTTATTCTGTCATCCCCCCCCCCCCCAATTTTTTTGTTTGTTGTTTGAAAGCTCCTCCGGTTAATGAGAGCTCTGGTTTAAGTTGTTAATGAGAGACGATGAGGTGTCGTGGTCGGAGTGCTGGACTGAGAGAAAGAAGATCCAGGTTCTAATCTGTACTATAAATGTCGCTGGCCTTGTCTTGCTCTGGTAGCTTGACTCCCTCCACCCACAAAAAAAGCATGTTCCTCTCTACATCATCCAAAGGCCAGGGTGGGAGATATGTTTATTTGACTACTAAAAAAACATACAGAAACTATCTTTTCACCCCACAAGCTACATAAATATCACAGAACTGAGCGTGCAGAGGAAACTCCCAAAACAATGGAGCTTTATGACTTTGCCACTAGAGCTGAAATCGGAATCTTCAGCCCCCATTTTGTAATATGCTTTTAACAAAGGAACTTAAGTCTACACATTTGACCATGATTTGGGGAAACTTTTATGTTTTTACAGCACCATCCACAGCTCTGGTCTCCAGACTAACAAAAACCCTACATGAAGGTGAAAGCTGCTTTTGTTTGCAATTTTTAAAAATGGTCCACCTTTGCCCGCCTCACAGGTCTGCTGAGTGGCTTCATTGATGAGGAACCCGTGCATGCACTTTGAGCTCTTCTGAGGAATAGTGGAATGTAAATATATAATAATAATGACTTATTTAAAGTTCATTTAAAAATCAAGACACTTGTACTGGTCTATGAGGAAAATAAATCCATGGGGAGGACTCCAAATTCTACACTTGTACAATCTCTTGTTAATGTCCTGCTAAAATGCCACCAAAATATGTATACCTTCTTGTTTTCTAGAGTTCTTCATCAGGAACTCACAGGGAGTTGTCGGCCAAAGCATCTGCAGGATTGAACATGTGGAAGGCTATATCGCCAAATTTTAACTTGAACTGATGAGTGACTGGAGGCAAAGGAAAGCAGAGGAAAAGTTCTTGGAGAATCTGATTCTCTTGGACAAAAGAAAGGATTCTCTCATACAAATGAAAGGATCACTGGGGAAATGCACCAGAAATTATGCACTAGAACAATGGTTCTCAAACTACAGCCCCCAGATGTTCTTGGACTGCAACTCCCAGAAACTGGCCAGCACAACAGGTGGTAAAGGCCTCTGGGAATTGCAGTCCAAGAACATCTGGAGACCCCGGTTCGAGAACCACTGTACTAGAACAGTGGTTCTCAACCTTGGGAAATCCAGTTGTTCTTGGACTGCAATTGCCAAATGCCTTCACCAGCAGCTGTGCTAGCCAGAGTTTCTGGGAGTTGCAGTCCAAAAACATCTGGGGAGCCTAAGGTCGGGACTATCACTGCCTAAATGCAGTTACTGAGAAAAGAAAATGGAAAAAGTCATGAACACCACCACTGAGCTCTCTGGAGGAAAACAGAGGTTTGCCTCATTACTGGAGGAAGCAAGTTAGGGTTCAGCCTCTTCTTTGTGCTAAATAATCTAGAGCTGCTTTTTCTCACACCTTACTCCTTACGCATGGCCTCAAATCCATAATTCAATTCAAGTGGGTGTTCTTTGTGCTAAATAATCTACAGCTGCTTTTTCTCACACCTTACGCATGCCCTCAAATCCATAATTCAATTCAAGTGGGTAAAATGTACCATCTTGGTTAGGTTGATATGACTGATTTGTGGTCCAAATTTTATGTAACTGTTGCCTTCCTTTGCAATTCATTTCCCCTTCCTCCCCACACACAATTAAACTTATGTTTTAGATTGGGCATGCAGCTACATTTAAAGGAGAACATTTCATTCAGACTTGTTGTTGGATTTTGTTAAGTACCGTGCAATTTTTTGACAAGTAGATCCAGATTGCCTACCTTCTTAATTTCTGAAAAAGAAAAATGAAAAGAAAAAAAATTCCATTTATGGAATAGGCTAGTGTGTGTAAAGAACTTCATTGTGAATTTTGGCAGACTACCAGAATTTCCTTTTAGGGGAACATTTGTAAAGAAAGAGTTCCAAAGTGGATAAAGTTCTGCCCACCAGGAGCACCTCAATGGACAGCACTAGAGGAGAAGCAAATTATAGACCAAGGACAGGCAACTTCTATCTCCTCCAGTGTTGTTTCATGCTTCCCCCACCAGACACAGCCAACATAACCATTGAGGAAGTGTGATTGGAGTTTCCAGAAAATATCTAGAGAGCTACAGGTGTTCACCCCATAGTACTTGGAAGGCAGACTCGGACGTGTTGCTTCACAACAATAACCTTGCCAAAAGTTCTGTAACTGAATAATTATTATGTCCAGACACTGTTCCAGAAAATAAGAACATCTTTATTGTCAGTCAAGCATATATTCACATACAGCTGAGAGGAGTTGGAGTGTGCTCTTTCATATTTTTGGTCAACTTCCAGAATTATCCAGAAATTTCCCAGGCAGAATTCTTGGGTGGTGCAGTCCAAAATCACAGGTCTGCAAACCAGCTTTCCATTTATTTACCTCCATCATTGCCTTCTCTGACCAGTTTCTGTTTTCAAAATTAGAAAACTGTAACAATGATACCTGGGAATCTTAGTTCTTCAGGTGGTGCCCTCTATAGAGCCTAATGGTCAGCAAGATTATGACTCTCAGTGTTCTCTGCACCCAGGAGGACTCGCCTCTGCTGGTCAATCAAATACCCCTTCTGTCACATGATTGACTAGTAGTGGTGGACCCTTCTGGGGATAGAGGACACTGGGGGTAGTTGTCTTGCTGCCCATTAGTCTCTAAAAAGGGTGCCTCATGAATACTTGTGACTAGGGATGTGCCATTTGGATTTTTTGGTCCAGGGCAGCTTCCTTTTTTTTAGGTAAAGGTAAAGGTTCCCCTGTTAGTCCAGGGCAGCTTCCTTTTTTTAAAGGTAGAGGTAAAGGTTCCCCTTGACAATTTTTGTCCAGTCGTGTTCGCCTCTAGGGGACAGTGCTCATCCCCATTTCCAAGCCATGGAGCCAGCGTTTTTGTCCGAAGACAATCTTCCGTGGTCACATGGCCAGTGCGATTTAGACACGGAATGCTGTTACCTTCCCACCGAGGTGGTCCCTATTTATCTACTTGCATTTGCACGCTTTCAAACCGCTAGGTTGGCGGGAGCTGGGACAAGCAACGGGAGCTCACTCCGTCGCGTGGATTCGATCTTACGACTGCTGGTCTTCTGACCTTGCAGCACAGAGGCTTCTGCGGTTTAGCCCGCAGCGCCACCACCTGCAGTCCTTTTTTTAACAGGAAGCTAAATTGGAACAAGGCCTTTCTCTAGGTGAGTGAAATTTAGGTGTTTGTAGGTACACGTATGTCAGGTAGAATGTCTAGAAAGGAGAACTTTGGGAGTCAGTGGGCAAAAAAATCTAAATTACACATCCCTACCTATGACTTTCATGTACCACTGTGGCAGTTTCCTTGTTTTTGAAAGTAGAAACAGCCCAGAAAATGCAGCAATGGAGATAAATAATTGGAAAGCTGGTCTGTAGACTTGCTTTTCTGAGTACCACCTATCAGGCCAATCCAAACATAAAAAAGAACATACGTACTGTATAGAGAAGAGTCTACCTGATATAAGGTCATGATAGCTAGCAGTTCTCTTTGGATTAAATGATGGGCAACAGGTGATGGTAAGATAATTTATTTGGACATAAAATTGAGTTTCCTCTTCCAAGATTAATAAAAAATTGAAGAGCCACCTTAGGTCCTTTTTAATGAGAAAGGGTAAATGTTTAAAATAAATAAACATATTTATAGTTTTCTGTGTTATATTCTTCAGTCATACAACACTGGAACTATATAGTCACAATACCTAAGTTAAAACAAAAAAAAATTAACCTTACCTCTCTGCTTATAAAGTATAATTTATACAGAAAATGCAATAAACCATTTAGTTTGCTAAAAGTCAGAAACCTCTGGCTTAGTATCTAGATCATTTTTGGGCATTTTTTCAATTTTTAAACATACTGTAAAAGACTAGTAAAAAAATTAAGCAAACCATAACAATATTGTCATGCCACAACTGTCAATTCTTTTAAAAAGTGTTCTGCTATATTGTCAATATAGACAAATTAAGTACTAGACATTTTGTGCGATTTTGTGGTTGCAGATGGTATTCCCTGGTTATTTTTGATACTGGCTATGTGCGATTATGTGAAAGAAGATTGAAAAAACAGAAGTAGTAACAAACTTCAGATTTTATTTCATTAATCAAGTGTGTTAGCAGTAATATATTCACCCCAGAAAACAATAAAACTGTTCTGCTCATCTAAATAACGTTCTGCTCATCTAAATACAACTTTAACTATTTGTTTTGAAATTTATGCTTGCCTATATCTGCCTCTTACAGTAAGAAACAGAAAATAAATAAGCCCTCCAATGTTGCAGTGTCTGTGCATTTTGTGTGATAGAGTATGGGGCAAGGGGAGTGATCTGTCAAAATCTGGCTTAAAACCTAATGTTATCTTGATATTGCAGATAGGTTGGATGCGTGATATACAGTACTAATGCACACACGCACACAAAAAAATGTAGTCTCTGAGTGCCGATTATTACACTACCAGGACAGCAAAATCCCTAGGCAGCAGTGAGTCAACCCAAATATTTGCATAAATATTAAAAATTAGGGGGCGGACTAGAAAGAGTGGAGGCAGTACAGACTACATATATATTCCCTAAATATGGAATGCTGATTTACTGTGGAGCTGGAAACAAAACAAGGAAGAGGGAGTGCAATGGAGTAAGTATGCAAAGAAGACAGGTGGTTCGTAGAAGCCTAGAGCAGTGGTTCTTAACCTTGGATTACTCAGGTGTTTTTGAACTGCAACTCCCAGAAACATAAGCCAGCACAGCAGGTGATGAAGGCTTCTGGGAGTTGCAGTCCAAAAACACCTGAGTAAACCAAGGTTAAGAACCACTGGCCTAGAGTATCTCTCATAGCAACATTTTGATGCATACCCAAATTTAACAGCAACATTTTTAACACATCCCAACTGAAGAGCGGGATCAGCAGTTCCAAAACAAAATAGGCACAGAGAAAGCTTTGTTTTGGAATTACAGCTCCTAGTGTCCCACAGCAACACAGACTGAGAAATTTCGCAAGAATTACAGTATAACAGGATATATAGCTATTTCAGCTCAACTCAGTTAGCCAAGAGGGTCCACTGGTTCTTCTGTATACATTTTCCTGAGAATAAGTTGGTTTCATTCAACTCAATGAACCTTACTTGTCAAAAGACTTATCTACAACTGCACAAGGAATGTCATTCATCAATTCATTCATTCTTTCCCCGCCTTTATCCTTTAAAAGGACCCAAGGAGGCTTATCTTATTAAAAGACAATATTTAAAGCTAAAAGCAATGAGCATACAAAGGCAGCTTACATAATTAAAAGACAATATTTAGATCTAAAACCAGTCAGTGTACAAATACTAAAAAGGGTCAAACAAATATAACTGAGAAACAGTAAGCACAAGCAGTACTAAAACACATTCCAAGCAGGAAAGCACACCCATCCATTAAAAAAAAAAACAACACTCAGGTGGCCAGTCATTAAGGGAAAGCTTGCCTGAAGAGGAAGTTCTCCACCTGCTTGCGGAAGGAACTTATGTGTAAGCATCCTTCAGTCTGGAGAGACGATTGTAACCTGCTTTAAATACTGTATGGAGGACTTGGAACAGCGTCCAGTGTGGCTGAGGAGGCCAATTCGAGAGTGACCATCCCTTCCACACTGAAGACAAATCCAATCTGTCCCCTGTCTGTGTAAGCATCCTTAAGTCTAGAGAGACGATTGTAACCTGCTCTAAATATAGGACTTGGAACAGCGTCCAGTGTGGCTGAGGAGGCCAATTCGAGAGTGACCATCCCTTCCACACTGAAGACAAATCCAATCTGTCCCCTGTCCATGGAAGTTGGGCGTTTGAATTCCCACTGCCCCTCTCTGACCAGGGCTGGACTCGATGAGCAAAGAGTGTCTTCCAGCTTAGCAGTTCTAAAATGATGATGATGATGATGATGATGATGATGATAAAATAAATGCAGCAACTCGCTGCCTTCTTCACCCCATCTAACCTTCTCACTCCCAAACCAGCACCCACTCCTAATGAGTCGCAAAAGGGGAGAGCCGAAAATAAATGCAGTAACTCGCTGCCTTCTTCACCCCATCTAACATTCTCACTCCCAAACCAGCACTCCTCCTAATGAGTCGCAAAAGGGGAGAGCCGGAAGCTGTGTGTAGCGTTATTACTCTGATATTTTTCTAACTCTACGTAGAAAGGAACCAGAGGTGAGGCCCATGCTGCGGCTGATGTAACATCCCAAAATTTAGCGGTTTTACAACAGGCCTGACGACAGGTACCTCCAACTTCGGGCAACTTCTTGACTGGTGGGTTAGGCGCCGTGCAGATAATGTGACGCCTGGACGATATTCATGTTCGGTTTATGCTTCTGAGTGAGACAGACGGGCCTGAAGGGAGGAGGAAAGGGCCACGTTGGATCAGGCAGTAGTTTCGACAACAAAATTGCAACCGGCCAAGGGGCCTTCCGTGCCTGAGCTCAAGAGTGGCGCATGCGCCTTGGGGGTGCGTCTCTCCCCCCAGCCATTCAGCCGTCCAGCCATGCCGACGATCAGCGTCAAGCGAGATCTGCTGTTTCAAGCGCTAGGAAGGAGTTACAGTAAGAAGGGGAAAGGGGAAGGGAAAGGGGGACGGGACGAGCTGTGGTAGGCGGCGGAGTAGAGTTCCCAGCGGTTGCAGGGGCTGTCCGGCGAATTGACAAGGAAAGGAGAAGTGTCCGGATTCAGACCCTAACGTAGCATCGGTGACTGACTCTGTATAAGTGAAATAAAGGAGAGCCGTGTGGTCAATAAAGAATAAAATAGAAATGCGAGAATTGGCGATACCTTTATATATGCTATTTGTCATTTATGTGTGTATACACATACACACACACTTGCATTTGTATATAAGTGGTTAAAGATGTAGCTTTCTTTGGACTTGTGCACTCATTGCATTTATAATTCTCCCCCCCCCCTCCAGTGAGTGATCCAGTCTGTTTCTCCTCTCACCTTTTTATCCTCACAGCAACCTTGAGAGGAGGTTAGGTTGAGGGATGGTGACTGCCCCAAAATCACCCACTGAGCTGCTTGGCCGAGTGGGGATTTGAGCCCCTATCTCAAGGTTTCTATCGTTGAAAGAGGGGTGGATGATTAGAAGCAAAGTGTGCTGCTTCATGACTGTCTCACAGCGCTTAAAACCACTCTCTGGGTGATTTAATTAAATTATACAGGGTACACTTTGCCCCGCAGCAAACTGGGTACTTAGTTGATTGACCCCAGAAGGATGGAAGGGTTAATGAACCTTGAGTGGGCTACCTGGGATTGAACCCAGGTTGTGAGCAGAGTTTTGGTGGCAGTACTGTACCGTGGTTGAGCCACAAGCCATTTAGGACTGTGGATCCCCAACCTTGGGCCTCTAGATGTTCTTGTACTACAACTCCCAGAAGCTTTCACCACCACCTCTGCTGACCAGGATTTCTTGAACATCTGGAAGCCCAGGGTTGGGGACCACTGATTTAGGAGATTGTTTAGAGACCTATTTGGAGTCACCAAAGTGGCAGAGGTCATCTAGACCAGCCTTGCTGTCGTATCCTTTCATTCACCACATGTGTACTTCTAGTGGGTAGTACTTATAACATATGGGGAATCATACCCACTGCAAGGCATCTCTTTGCGTGCTTTGAAAAGTTATTATTTCATTGACCTTCAAGGTTCAAAGTGTTGCTTTTTGAAAAAGAAAAAAGAAATAGCTACGCAGGGGATCTGAAGTAGTAAATTCTTTAAAATGTAAGCATTTTCCACAGGTTTATATAGTCTTTGAAAACTAGTCTTTACTGTTACACCTTCTGTATAGTTGTCATGTTCTTAAAAAGATGTCCTGATTCCTTTCAGCTGGGATATTGCTATTGAGGGGAGACATTTGGGAGATGACTGGAGCATGTTTTGGTCATCCGAATCTGAGTATAGGTTCAAAATCATATAGGAAGCAATAAGACACAGAAAATAAATGAGGTTGTTAATGTACATTTTTATTTATTTATTTATTGTATTTATCCCCCGCCTATCTAGTCATTTCGACCACTCTAGGCGGCTTACAACATAAAGGATAACAAGTTCAAGAAAAATTTATAACAATCAATTAATTAAATGATTCAGCAAGGTGGGAAAAATACAAAATAAATCAAATAAAGAGAAAAATAATAAAAAGGAAAGAGGACAGGAATTAACTGGAAGGGAAGGCCTGCCTATACATCCACGTTTTTAGTTGGTTCTTAAAAGTACCCAGTGAGGGTGCAGCGCGAATCTCTGGAGGTAGGTTATTCCAGAGGCGAGGAGCCACCGCCGAGAAGGCCTGGTTTCTAGTTCTTTCCTTCCGGGCCTCCCTCAGCGTCAGGCTCCTCAGCCTCACCTCCTGGGTCGCGTGGGTGACACAGGTAGAATTAGTTGGGTGTAAGCGTTCCGCCAAGTATCGAGTAAAGAGGGTGAGAAGACATGGAAAAGAAGGACAAACTTTTACATGCGTTTTTGAACACCAGATAAGAAAGCAAACCTGTGGTGTGTTGGCAGTTAGTTATTGTATGTAATTGGAACTTAGTAGCTCTTTGGCAACTGTATAGTGTGAGAAACAGTGCATGTATGAGATAACAAGTTGCAATACAATTTTACCAGTCTTGGTTATCTTAATATTGAACCAGAAAGAGAAGGACTTTACTAAATTTAAAAACTGCTTAACAAAACTGTTTCTTCATAAAACTTGTGTAACAACCTCGCCTTCGCGAATACAACCTTGTCAATACTTTGAAGTTAACTTACAGCACAAGTATGGAATTGGTTACTTTTCAAAAATAATAATTTCTTAATGGAAATGCTAGAATTAATTAAAGGATTTTCTTTTTAGCCGATGAAGAATTTGATGAACTATGTTTTGAGTTTGGCTTGGAACTTGATGAAATTGTAAGTAATTCTTTTTCTTGCTATACTTATAATGTGGTGTTAGATGTGGGATACACAGTGTAATTGAACTGATGTCCTACAAGGTTTTCTTGTTGAGTTTTTTAGACTTGAGTTCTGTAAATGGTTTACAACTGTAGTGAAATCCCTAAGCAACATTTATTCAGGATGTTCTTTCCTAAGCTGTCAGTACCTTGCTGCTTTCCAGGCACTGTCTAATCTTACTCCCAGTGGTTTACCAGCTAAGAGCTTAAAAGCTTATGTAATCTTTCTTGTCCTATGAGCCTACTCAGAAGCTGATAGTGATTTCAATGAGTGATGTTGTCAAAATGTTTTGCTGCATTATTCATTTCTAAGAACTACTAGAGTTTCCTTAAGAAAATAGTGGTACTGTATTATAATGTACAAAAAATGAAGACCTTTATGTTGAGTTTACAGACTTATTGCTGTATGATCATCAGTGACAATAAGGTAACTTATCTTGAGAGACAGATTTTGGTGTGATTTCAAGATCATGTGCACTTTCTGTAAAGGATCTTGTTTCGTTTCAGACTTCTGAGAAGGACATAATAAGTAAAGAGAAAGGTGATGAAAAAGCAGAGGGTGCATCAGAAGTTGTTCTCTATAAAATTGATGTTCCTGCTAATCGGTATGACCTCCTCTGTTTGGAAGGCCTAGTCAGAGGCCTTCAGGTCTTTAAAGAAAGGTAATGGTTTTCTGCAATATCATTGAAGATAGTTGCTACCTTGTGTTAACTGTTGGCTTACCATTAAGCCCTCAGTTGAAAGACTTAAATTTGTTTAGGCCTCAGAAGGATTTGTGTAACTTGGCAGTGGATGCTGACATACTTTAAGCAAGCAAAATATGTCCAGAGACCCCTCTAAACATCTTGTGATATATTAAGAAGCAACTGAATGATTTGCATGCTTACTCTGAACATAAAATTAACATTTTATTGTCTAGAATCGGGTTGGTGTTTTGTTTAGTTTAGGTAAAGGTAAAGGTTCCCCTTGACAATTTGTCCAAATGTGCATTGATGAGGTGCTGGGACATATCTTGGTCATGTGCATCATCACACACTCAGTTGTGCAACTGACGTGTGCCTCAGCACCTTGTGAATTAGTAGGTTGATTTAGGCAAATCTTACTTGAGCATCACGATGATCACATATATTTTCCTTTTACCCAGTTTCTCAGAAGAGGTCCATGATCAGGTTTATGTAATTCTTATGCATTCATTGGATGCCTAGTATTTTGCTGATTGGCACTATTCTAAAAGTGCATCATAATTTTCTCTATCATTAAATGTGCATTACAGTCCGTAAAAAGGCATTTTTCTTACAAGGCTAATGTGGATGCAAGTTCAGGTATTTTAAAATGTATTGTAAGTCCTTAGAGTAATCCAGATTTATAAAATGTGAGGTCCCAATCCACAGATCCTTTCTGCAGAACTTGGTTTTGCACACTGCTTCTGCTTATTTCTACCAAACATAATTGGCACTGTCAAATTTCAAGTTGCCTGAGAGAGAAAGGGAGACTCAGTTTGTGAGCCTCATCAAATCCATCACTTCCTCAAACATCATCTGTGCCTTTTTTGTCAGAATCTACTGCTTGTTTTTCAAATATGTGTTGTGAATCCAGTTGGCAAGTCAGAATTTTTACATAGCACTGTAAATTCTTTCAGAGTTTTACTGAACACAGTGGGATTGACTTCTGAGGAAACATGTAAGATTATAATGCATGTCCTGCTTAGTCTAGAATGATTGCATTCAACAGAACGCTGCATCTTTTTGCATATTTGGGAAGGGAATGAGTTTTCACAATTAATACCATGGAATTCTGATGTGTGTATTTTTATATTCTTAAAAAAATATCCTTGCTTTACATGCTAGGTCTAAAATAACAAAAAAATATAAAAGTATTGTTGCTGTTTAGTTGTTAAGTCGTGTCCGAGTCTTCGTGATCCCATGGTAATAATTTGTACTTTTAAAAATAATCATGGCCCAGTCCAGTATTGTTGTTGTTTAGTTGTTAAGTCGTGTCTGAGTCTTCGTGATCCCATGGACCAGAGCAGGCCAGGCCCTCCTATCTTCCACTGCCTCCCGCAGTTGGGTCAAATTCATGCTGGTAGCTTCAATGACTCTGTCCAGCCATCTTGTCCTCTGTCATCCCCTTCTCTTGCCTTCACTCTTTCCCGACAACAGGGTCTTTTCCAGGTAGTCTCTTCTTCTCATGAGATGGCCAAAGTATTGGAGCCTCAGCTTCATGATCTGTCCTCCCAGTGGGCATGCAGGTTTGATTTCCTTCAAAATGGATGGGTTTGTTCTCCTTGAAGTCCAGGGGACTGTCAAGAGTCTCCTCCAGCACTGCAATTCAAAAGCATCAATTCTTCAACGGTCAGCCTTCTTTATGGTCCAGCTCTCACTTCCATACGTCACTACATAGCTTTGACTATGTGGGCCTTTGTCGGCAAGGTGATGTCTCTGCTTTTTAAGATGCTGGCTAGGTTTGTCATCGGTTTCCTCCCAAGAAACAGGCACCTTTTAATTTCATGGCTGCTGTCACCGTCTGCAGTGATCATGGAGCCCAAGAAAGTAAAATCTGTCACTGCCTCCATATCTTCCCCTTCTATTTGCCAGGAGGTGATGGGACCAGTGGATCTCCTCTAGATTTTTTAGATATTGAGCTTCAGACCATTTTTTGTGCTCTCCTCTTTCACCCTCAGTATTGGGGTCCAGTATTGGAATTCCATTATTGGAATTGGGGTCCAGTATTGGAATTCATCTATACTTATGGGAAGGAGCTAGGGGAAAGGCGGCAGAAGAGAATGCCTTGCTTCGGAACTGTACATGTTGGTTGGAGGGGTTCTAGAGGACCTGATCAAGTGTCTGGACTCTTAAGCATGTCTGTAAAATTGCCTTTTAATTCGGGAAAATAATTTCAAATGTTTTATTTTAGAATAAGGGTTCCAAGATATAAAAGAATCATGCCACCCAGTGGAGGAATTCAGAAACTTACCATCACTGAAGAGGTAAATATAACAGAATTGTATCTCAGTATGACTACTAGATAAACAATAAATATTCGTCATAATTGTTGTTGTTGACCTCAATAAATAAACATGTTTTTTTTCTGTCCAGTTTGATTTCATTGTAACAACAACAAATGCTTTATTTGTGAATATAAATATATATTTTCAGTTCTGAAGGTTACAAATGTGTGTATGTAGGTGTTTGAGTTCAAATCACATCAGATTTCCGGCACTGGCTACAAACCTTGTGTGGGCTGCGTGGTCATTAATGGTTCAATTTCAGATGGATTCCCCCTTTAAAAATTCTAAACAGAAATAATACATTTCCAATATAAATTAGTTTTAGAAATAAAGTCTTAAAGACTGTGCTTACGAGAGCATAATTCATATGCTAGTGGAGTAGAAGGAATTCATCCCATCCTATAATTTTTTTCTGGAGCAATACTGATAGTTGTAAACATACACGTGGTTAAAAGTTAGTTCTCTAAAGTGACCACTTATCCAGACAGCTAATCCTTGCATGTAGTGTTAGAATATTCTAAAGAGCTGTTTTAGGTTTCTCCGTTCTGACATGGAGTTTTCATAACCTTGAGCAGTTCATGTTCGTTGTATTTAACCTAGTGTTCAAATTATAAAGAACTTTCTGGTAAGATGTTCTTCAGTGATTTTCCTTTTCATAGGTGCCTGCTTAGCTGCAGTTTTCTTTAAAGTTCTCAACACCGTTATTGTTATCCAAAGACCGATCACTCAGTGTTGGCAAGAGTGTAAGGTTGGAATCTGAAGTCCTGTTTAAGGTCATGAATGGGGCTCGCACTAATTTTAAAATACGTACCGTTCTGTTTTGAACAGCAACGCTGGCTGAAATCCAGTAGTGAATCACAACTAAAGTTAGGCCCTTTGAATCAGTGAGAATTTAGTGAGTCAGCTCCTCCATAACTTCCACTGATTCAATGGGCCTACTCTAGTTGTGACTTTCTACTGGATTTCAGCCTCTGTGTCATGTCACAATATGTGTTTGAAACTCTTTTCCGTTTCAGAAGCTGTGTATTGTGTTGTGACTGGAATGATGGATCAGGGGCTATCATTTTTTATGGTACAAGTCTATTTGGATGGCAAGGCTTGGTTCCCTTATTCTGTGCCTAGCAGTGAACCTCTTTGTGCTTTGCTGCAGAACTAGGTTTCTTTTTCCCCTTTTCATTAAAGTGAAAGTTTAAGTTCATAAAGCACTGCACCTTGATTGCTTCTTAATAACAAAGTACTTTTAAAAATCTATATTGCTGCCTGTAATTGGACTTCTTTACATTGCAGACGATCTCAGTCCGACCTCATGCTGTGGCTGCCGTTCTTCGTAACATTACTTTTGACAAAAACTGCTATGAGAGCTTCATTGACCTGCAAGAGAAATTACATCAGAATATATGCAGGTTGGCCATCATGTCTTTAATCAGGAAGTTGCAATTATTAATAATGAAATATCAACCAGTATTTTGTAATAGTGCATTGATGAAGACTGTCATGCTTCATAAGAAAAATGTTCTTAACCAGCATTTTGAAATATTTTTCCCATGATAGTTTTAAGAGCTTAGTTAAGCTTGCAATTGCTGGTTTAACAACATTTGAGGACGCTTCTCGGATGCAGTTCTTGACCCATTTGACTTGAATTTTATTGAGTTGTGTATCTTAAATAATGGCTGATATCCTGTTAAACAGTTAAGCAACTGATGTAATTTGGATGTGAATTGGCATGAATGAAGAATTCTCTATAGGCATAATTTGTTGGATGTCGGATTGCATGACTGAATATTGAACAGAGTATGCCAGTGTCTAGTGAGATATCTTAATTAATGGCAATTTGCCTCCAAAAGTTACTTCTTTTGTGTAATGCAAGAGGAATTGATCAGTTAAAGAAAAGTGGCTTAGTTTTTCTGTAAAGATTCTGCAGTTGTGTTTTTGTCAGCACAGTACTGGACAGGAATGTCAGGTGTAAGTTGAATCTCCATTACATAATTTTTTGTGTTTTGTTTCTAGAAAAAGATCGTTGGTTGCTATTGGAACCCATGACCTAGATACAATTTCTGGCCCATTTACATATACAGCTAAACCACCCTCAGAAATCAAATTTAAACCTTTGAATCAGGACAAAGAGTACAATGCTTCTGAAATTATGGATTTATACAGGGTAAGTGCCTTCAAAACTGTAAGGGTTGTTTCCATAAATAATGCAAGTGTTAGTAAAGATAATATACCAACAATTTGTAGGATCATTTATTCTCTGCACTGACTGGGGCTTTGCTCCATAAGTAGCTCATGTAGAAAACCACATTTGAAATTTTAGAAACATTCAAAATCTGTACTGTGTATGCACACACAAAGTTAACTCAGAAAGATAGTTATTGAAAGTACTTGTTAAAACCTTTGAGTATCTCCCGAGTTTATTGGTTGTGACAGTTAACACCAACCTTGGTACCTAAAGAAATAAAATTTGTGATGACAGCAGTTTGGCTTCTAGAAATTAGACTGTTGTAACACACCAACTATGTAGGCTCATTTCACACACCACATGAAATCATGGTTTACATTCCAAATATACAGCAGATATACCACAGCTTAGAGCTGTTTCTCTGTCCTTCTGACACCCAGCTTTGTAGTTTCAGTATTGCCTCTATGATGCTACAACCTCTGGAAGCTGAGTGATGGCCATAACAATGATTGCTCAGTCATGAAAAACAATCAGTAGTGTCAAGCTGAGTTTGCCAAGCCTTTTCACTTCTCTTCATTTTTATCTAGGTCGCAGATAGAAAAACTGGTTTATTTCAAGGGTCACGGTATAGCAGCACCCTTTAGAATCTCATTGTATTCAACTGTGTGCTCTTTGGAGACAAAGTAGAGTAAAAACATTTTGTTTTTTAATTTGGATGAGTGAGCCATCATCATGAGTTGTTTTTTTTTTTTGTAGTCAACACTGAAGTACAATGTTTAATTGTCTTAGTAGCTCCTTGTCATTGAGGTATACTTTGAGGTAAATAATACTAGAAATTGTTCTTTAACTACTGAGTGACAATGTGTCTACTTGCTTCCATGTTAGATACTCTATAAATACTGCATTATGAAGTGCTGTGAAGTTGGAAAGTAAGAAGGAAGTAAGGAGAATGGATTAGGATGGGTGTCATTTGTTACTGTTTAAGGCATTCTTGTATACATAATGTGTCTGCAGTTTTGCAATGAAGGAATTTAGATTCTTATTTCTGTAGAAAAAGCAAATCAGATATCTTTTCCTGATTACATGCAATGATTCCTGGGATTTTCACTGTAAAATACTTAACTAGTTTGTTATTGAGCCATAGCACAAGTAGCATTGTGAGACAGAATAAAAGTTTTAAAAAGCTTTTTTCTCTCAATGCTGAACATAGTTGGATATGAAATTGATACAAGGAATAATGTTAATCTGGTTAGTGAATTAGTAACCATGTGTATGTGTCTCCTTAGTAAAGTTGTTCTCTTCCGTGATTAAAACATGATTCTTAAAAGGATTAACAGTATACTGTATTTTCTTTTGTTCAAATAAGTTACGACTCTAAGAACAAAATGTGGTAACTTCTGAGAAAAGGAATGTAAACCGCCTAGAGTGGTCTATCGACTAGATAGGTGGGATATTAAATAAATAAATAAATAAATAAACATTGTTTTTTTTCTTCATTTTAGACAGATAGCCATCTTAGGCATTACCTACATATTATTGAAAATGAGCCACTGTACCCAGTTATTTATGATAGCAATGGTGTTGTTCTTTCCATGCCACCAATAATTAATGGTAAGATTGGTTTATGCTACCTTGTTTTCATTTTCTGCTATCTATCCATTGCCTATCTATGTCACTTTTCTCCTGTTATGATCTGATGAATTTCATTATTGTGATCATATAGCAGTAATATTAACTCTTTACTTAAATCTGACTTGCAGAAGTTACCTCATCTGTCTCTTGGGTGTTCAGTGTCGCCTATGTGCCTGCAGACAGATCCCTTGGTGTCTGTCATACTACCAGGTCTTTCCGATTAGCAGATTTTTAAAAACATGTATACATATTTTTAAACATATACACTTCAGATACAGTAGCAGTACTGAGCACTGCAGATTAAAGAGAATTTAAAAGATTCAACCACCAAACAGATGGCTATACTTTACAATCAAATTTGAGAGGTTTGGTCTCCAGATAGTTTCTGTAGTTCTTGATGAGAAACTTTTATTGAATTGGATTTGTTATTTTTCCCCAATAGGTTTTAAATACAAAGCCCGACCATTTTTGTAAAAATGAATGCTATAACAGCACTTAGGAGAATCTTGCTCAAAAACAAAAGGGGAGATATAATAGCATTATTCAAATTCTTGAAAGATTGTCATACTGAGGAGGGAAGGATCTGTTCTCAGTCATTCCAGAGTGCAAAGCGCTTAATGGTGAAGTCAAGCTACAAGAAGCCATATTTAAGACATAAGACATAAGACATAAGAAATTTATTTGTCATTGTGCTCACAAGTGGGTGCAACGAAATGAGGTGCTCTTCCCCAAGGTAAAACTGGACAACACTACAAAAAAAAGTTAAAATATACACAACTTTCACCATCCAAATATAGATACCCCGTTTTCTCTCAGCAATTAAAATTCCACCAAAAACCTATGGCCCCGCATTTAAACTCAATACTGCACTTGGGTAAAAACTGTTCTTGAATCTGCTTGTCCTTGCTTTCAATACCCTGAATCTCCTTCTCGATGGTAATAGTTTAAAGAGCTGATGTCCCAGATGAGAGGAGTCTTTCAGTATGTTAGACATCTTCCTCTTACATCTGTTCTTATACAATTCTTCCAAAGAGAGGAGTGAACAGCCAATGATGTTTTGGGCCTTCTTAATCACCCTTTGAATTGCCTTTTTCTCTGCCACTGTGCAGCTCGTGAACCATACACAGAGACAGTAGGATAATATGCTCTCAATCGAACTCTGATAGAAGGTGATTAACAAACTCTCAGTCAATTGTTGCTTTCTAAGAATCCTTAGAAAATACAACCGTTGTTGTGCCTTCCTGATTAACGCAGCGGTGTTTGCACTCCAAGTCAGGTCATTTGTTATGATAGTCCCAAGAAACTTACATTCAACCACCTGTTCCACACAAACTCCATCTATATACAGTGGCTGAATGTCTGCTCTTTTTTTCCTATAGGCCACTTGCTATATGTCGTACTTGAACTTTGATTCCTACATTAAGCAAGGGTTTGGACTGGGTGGCTTTATCAGTCCCTTCCAACTTCATTGTTGTATGATTTTGTGAATAGGAAAAGGAAAGTAGTTATCACCTTGAAAATACCAGCTTCTACCGTAGCATCCTTCGCTATTGACTTCTCTTCAGGACTGGACCTTTGAAACTACACATATCCGTCTGCATGGCTTCCTTTTTACAGTCCTTTTTCCAGAAACAACTTTATGCTCCTCCCAGAACTACCAGAAGTTTCTTACATACAGTGGTGCCTCGCTTGATGATGATAATCCGTTCTGTTGAAATTACTGTTAAGCGAAATAGTCGTCAAGTGAATTTCAAAACCCATTGAAATGCATTGAAAACCATTCAGTGCGTTCCAATGGGCTAAATACCTGCTCGTTTTGCGAAGATCCTCCATAGGGCGGCCATTTTCCGGTGCCTGTAAAGTGAGGAATCCATCCTAAAACACAGTGGGGAGCCATTTTGCACAGCAGGCGGCCATTTTAGAGCTGCCAATCAGCTGTTTCAGAATCATCGTCTAGCGAAAAATCAGTTCCCGAAGCAGGGAACTGATCATTGTCAAGCAAATTTTCCCTATCTAAACATTGTTTTGCGATTGCTATTGTCGTCGTTTAATGAGGTAATCGTTAAGTGAAGCACCACTGGATTTTGTAACACAAAGTAAGCATCTATGGCTGAGGGCAAGAAGCCTTCCTGGCCACCTGCCAGTCCTTGTGCATGCCTTAAGTATCTCCTTCATCATGCCTAGATGCATGTTTCTTACATTGTGCCACCAGGTCTGCTAGTATTGCTACTCAGTACCTTGATGGTGTTGAGTGAAAAATATAAAGTGGATCTCTGGCTTGCTGTTGCAAAATCTGTATATCAGCCTATTGAAAGAAGTCGACCTTAAACTTGCAGAAATTTGTATTGCATACCACCTTGTTTAGGATTGAAAAAAGCCAGGCCACTTGTGCAACAAGTCATTGTCTGTGTGGAGGAGACAAAGAAGGTTATTCCCTCTGATTCTTATGTTTAGTTGAGGTCTGTTTAAACTGTGGAAGGATGTTTTGGCCTGGCTATAGATCAACACATGTAACATCAAAAATTTCATCTGTATTTTCTAGGAGACCATAGCAAAATAAGTCTGGGCACCAGAAATGTGTTCATTGAATGTACAGCGACAGATCTTACCAAGGTAAATGAGCTTGATAAAGTAACAAATTTAAGGACAAACTATAATCCTGCTTTTCAGGATAAAATTGAAATAATGAAAATTTGAAGATAATCTTAACTATTATCATATAATAATCTTCAGAGTTAAATCTTCAGAAAAGTAGTTGATAGAGCTAAGGTGGATTTTTTTACCAATGGAGCTTGTTTCTGAAGCCAATGAATCATGGAATATGTGTTTGGACTTCAGACCATTGTTAACAACGGTTAACAACCCATGACAGTGGGTGGAGAAGGACTGCAGAAGTGGGATTTTCACTCACCTCCTGTCCTTTTGTTCATCTAACAAGCCTATTTGAGCCTGGGGGAGGTGAAACTAATGTGGAGGATATATCTAGGGTCTCCTACCAACTCTCCTCAAACTGAAGAAGCTACTTGGATGAGTAGCAAAATGTTTAAACTTAATAAAAAATGAAGTTCAGTTGTCATGACTGGACTTCCAGATAACCTCACCCGGATGACTGAGAATCTTCACAGATGTTTTGGACTTCAGTTTGGGGCTTATATTTGTCCTTCTGGAAATTGAATTTGAGACCAGTGAAGTGTGTAGGACCATAGCCACACAAAGCTTTCGTCTTCTAGGAGCTTTGGGGTTATGTCCTCATGGGAGAAATTCAGTTGGTTTTAATTAGTGGGATTAGGTTGTATGGGTTCCTTCCCTCAATTTCATTGGGGAAAGAAGCTATTTCCGTAAGCTGATAGACCACTTAAGTATCTCACTGTATTGTCTTGTTTTTTTAAATTTGTCACGTCCATTAATCTAACAAATGGATATATTGTCAATATTTCAGGCAAAAATTGTATTAGATATCCTTGTTACCATGTTCAGCGAATACTGTCAGAAGACATTCACGTGAGTTGGGATGAACACTTTTTATTGTAAATATGTGTATGTCTTCTATATCCTGTACTTTAAACATTTGCTTATCTTCCCCCCTGTAGTGTTGAAGCAGTAGAAGTAACTTACCCGAATGGAAAGAGCTACATCCTTCCAGTAAGTATTACAGAAATCATACAGTAAATTGGTAATTAATGGATTTTTAAAAACGATGTTCTTGAACATGCCTTGAGCTGGCCGCTTTTTGAAAGGAATCATGTTACCCTTGTCAGCAAATTAAGTTACCAAGGCATGAATGATTGAGGTCATGTTCTTGTCTGAGAAGGTGCAACAGCTGCGAAAGTGCAGCCTGGTAATCCAGCAGCTGTGATTGCTACCATGTTTTTCGTTGTTGAAGGATGGGCAGACCTGTTCAGAGCAAGCTGGAAGGGTGCTCATTCTAACTCTGCTCTCCTGCCATTATAACCACCATGAGATCTCCCATGTGTCATATTTTTAATGCATGTGGGTTCAGCTTCTTATTCATCCAGTCCGTATCTGTGGTTATGCTTTCATTGAAGGACCAACCTGCTGCTCCTGGGATTCATTGAAAATGAAAACTAAGAATTGGGTGCCCTGGTATATTGATTGCACTGCACTCCCAAACAGATGGGTGATTTATTGATGCATATAGATGTGAATTGACTTTGGAAACATTGCAGTAAAGCAGTGTATTTGATGCAAAGTATATCTTTGCACGTGATGTACAAATAGTAGAGAAGAGAATCTGCAAAATTGGTGCACGTGACAGTCATAAATACTTGATGTTCAGGTTTTGTTCCTCTTTGCTGATGTTTGAGCATCCCTTCCTCACTGCTCTAAATTTGTGCCACTCTGAGAAATGAGAGGAGTATCACGACTTGTTTGGTGCCACTGTTGACTGCAGGAACATATAACAGAGAGAGACAGTTTGAGCAAGGGAAGGTGTGGCAGCTAAGTGGCCCATATAACAGAGAGACACAGAGCAAGGGAAGGTGTGGCAGCTAAGTGGCTTTCCTTTCCGTGGTTTCAGTTAAATCTTATCAATGAGGATGAGCTTATTGTAATGAATAACTTGGTCAAGCTGAGGGTAAGAGCTTGATGTCTCTCAGCCTAATGAGGATTCTAGTGTAAGGGCTGTGCTATATGTAGAGATTTTTTCCCCTTTTCATGTCAAAGTGGGAGTACTTTTTCCTATCAGGAGGTGGTATCAGAGGACTGAGACTAAGGATTTCTATAACCACAGTCCTTTTATTAAATGATAAAATAATTGAAGAAGGAAGTGCTCACTATAACAGATAACTGTGAGGTTTTGTTTTGTTTTTTGTTTGTTCATGGAATGTTTTGATGATGACTAACCGGTGTCTGTTAACCAGTAAAGCCAAGAATGTTCATGCTTAAAAGCAATATGCGTCTGATTAACACCTTATAGAATTAAATAGTTGGGATAATGGCATCATGCAATCAAATACTGATGTTCAAAGAAAGCAACTGACTTCTTTATTAATTTTGTAGGAGTTGGCTTATCGTCGTGAAAAGATAAAACCTGAAATAATGAACAAGAAAATAGGAATTAAGTATGTTACATTTTTTCACTTCCTTTGAATAGCGCACATAGAATGATGCATGTGTCATATTTTTAATGCATGAGATATCCAGTTTTTACCATGGTAAGAATAGGCAGAGACTGGTCATGCCCTAGAGATCAAGATTTTATTTATTGTGGTGTATGAGTGACTTCTTGGGAAATCTTTAAAAGGAGCCTACAATGAAAATACAGTAAAACAGTAACTATGTCTATTTATATGTATCTGTATCTGTGTGGATATGTGTCTGTAAAGAAAAACAGCTACAGAACAAAATAATTCTGTTACACAGTTCATAGAAAATGTATTTGTTTGGCAGCCAACAATGTGTGTCTGTTGCAGGCTATCATGCTATCATGATGATGATACAAAATGCCTTTGTTCCAGCTGCTGCTCTGAATCCATTTTGCACTCATGGTTAAGTTATTAGTCATCATGGATAGTTTTGAACAAATCACAGTAACAAATTAGAATAATGACCTATGTCTTGTAGCTCTGTTCCACTGAAATATTTAACTGGATTGCTAAGAGTCGTAAACATCAAGAAATTCTTTGTTGCTCTCTGTCATTTGGCTTAGATTTAAAAGACTGTCATTTGCCATCTGCACACAGATGTCAGCCTGCATGATCTCAGACAGCCAAACTGCACCGGAAGACTTCATTTATATAACCCGTTTGTCCCTCATGATCCTCATTTTCTAAAGGCATTCTGCTTCTGGGGATGTAGTTGGTGGTCTTCAACCCTGATACTAGTGAAGTGAAAAAGATCCTTAGTATATAGGCAACTTGTGACTGGAGAAGGGAGGTAGCAATGAAACTGGGATGCAACCCTGGTCATTTTGTGAGCTGACTTTGCATGAATGTAGTCATGCTGGATTTGACTGTATTGTAAGCAGTGGTACAAGAGGTAGGGTATGCTTGCTGTCACTTGCACAGCTAGTTGTGCAGTGGAAAACTGTGTTTCAGCCATCTACTGGACTAACTCTAAAAATGTATTCCCATTAAAGCAGTGGATCCTGTGCAAGCACAACGGCATCATTGGACTCAAGCTATATTTTGCTCTTTTGGCTTGATGTACAATTAATGTCACTAAGAAATGAATATATGTATCGATCCATCAGCACTGGAGAGTTTCCTACTTTATTTCGGGGATTGGATACAGTGGGCTAGATGCTTTTTTTTGGGACAGCTGTGCTGCTATTTGAGTCTTTGGGTATCGGATTCTATGTGCCTTTTTGTGTTCACATATAGTCTGTATCATGAAACAGCCTGGCTTGTTAAACACAAAGTAGTGCTGCACTCTGATTAGTCTCATTCCCTTAAAGAATAGGAGGGACAGGAAGAAGTTTCCAGATAGCATCATCCTAGTAGGGACCGCCCAGTTTGGAACAGGCTGTCTTCTCCAGTATGATTAGTCCATATTTGTCTTCTGGGTATACACTTTCATGCTAAAATTGAAGCTTTTGCATGTGATTCTTTCTACCCAAATTCTGGCAGAACTTTATATCCACTTTTCTCTTCCCACCACCCTGACTGCCCTCTGTAAGTTTGCTTTCTAGTAGCATTGCCAGCATGCCTTCAGCTGCTTAAAATCACATCCCATCTCTCCAGGGCAAGTATATTTGCCATTATCTGTAAGAATATCCCTTTTTTTTTCTTACCCGCAAAAGATCTAGCCGAAAACAATTGTTAGACTGCAACTCTTCCAATAAGAGCACAGCTTTGACTTATGAAAACTAACCGTTTCTGCTGAAGATGAAGGGTCTTTTTTTAAAAAAAAAAGTTTATTCCAGAGTTTGGCCCTATGTTAAATTTTAGTTTTGACAATTTCCTGTTAGATGATGTCTAAAGTAAGGCTGGCAGAGATAGGAAACTTGTTTGAAAATATCAGTGATGGTGTGTGAAAACAGTAAGGCAGATTTTGAATGAAAGAGTAAGTAAGTGATTTTATGAATGAGCCCTACACTACCATCATAAGGATTGGCAGTGTAATTCCAGAAAACTATTTTATATCCTAGTTTGATTTATTACAGGGTCATACCTATTTTGGAGCTACAGTGCTTGGTTGCTGCAAATGAAATCCAGTGGCTTAGGAATGAAGCCATGTGATTTTTTTCCTTTAAAGCATGACTTTTGTTTTTGTTTTAGTGAAACACCATCAAGCCTTGCAAAGCTGCTCACCAGGATGTGTTTGAAGTCACACGTCATAGGGAATGGGAACAATATAGAAGTTGAAATCCCTCCTACCAGAGCTGACATTATCCATTCATGTGATATCATGGAAGACGCAGCAATAGCGTATGGCTATAATAACATTCAGATGACTATTCCAAAAACATACACCATAGCTAATCAAGTAAGATTGCACCCTTAAGTAAACAATCTATATTGTCAGTTAAAAGGCTAGAAGCATGCCAGAAGGGTTCTTAGAAAACTGCATCTAAGAATTAAAACAATATTCTGTGATGTCTTGTGGCAAAAGGGGGTTTGCCATAGTAAGGATACAAAACAGATGCCCAAGTGATCTTATTAACTCACAAGACCTTCATTGGCTAGCCTTTACAAAAGAATGAAAGAAAATAAAAGTTTTTTTTTTTTAAAAAAAGCAAGATTTAAACCTGGAGGCTATATTAAATCTCTAACAGGGAATTGCATTTCCTCTGTAAAGACCAGATGTAGCTGGCTGGGTTTACTCCTTGTTTCTAAAAGGGCATACTAAACAGTCATCTCTGTGATTTTGTGATACTTGTTGAGCAGAAAGATTAAAAAATTGCTTTTTTTCTCCCTTTCTAGTTGCCTCTCAATAAACTCACAGAACTTCTGAGACAAGATCTGGCAGCAGCTGGCTTTACTGAAGCGCTTACTTTTGCTCTGGTGTGTGTAAATAATCTGTTCCTAGAGTTTAAGATATGGATGGAGGGAGCAGTTTCTTACAAGGATGCAGATGGCAGCAGCGTTCTGTGATGGTTTTGGATTCTCTTTCTCTAGTGTAGCAGTCCAAATGTATTCCATGACCTCTGTTGGTAGAAGTAACAATTCCCCTGGTTGTAAGACTTAGCATGACTTACCTTCCTTTCCTTGCTCCCTTCTCATTGCCTAATCCAATTAGGAGGTGCGAGAGATGAAGGTTAAGGAACAACTCTTTGCTGAGTTGAATCAAAAGAAGAACACCTTTCCAGAACATTGGGAAAAGTTGCTTTTTAAGACAATGACTCCGAAAATACCCAGCTCACAGTATTCTTGAATCTCTAATCCAAAAAAAGTAAATTTTCTCATTTTTACTTATGAAAGGAAATATGTCTGCTGGCCCTACCATGTGTCAGAAGAGCTATATTTTGGTTGACTGGTCTTGTCTGCAGGAAACCAGTTTAGGAAAGGATGTTTTATTAGGAACATCTCTCAACACTTCTTGAAGAACAACTGTATAGATTGCCAACCCATTTCTGGGTAGAACTGAATATACTGGCAGTTACCTGTGAAGCTGTAAATGATTTGTTTGAAATATGGTGCTGGAGAGAACTTTGCAGATATCCTGGACTGTCAGAAAGATGAACAAGTGGGTCTTAGATCCAATCAAACCTGAACTATCTCTGGAGGCAGACGTGATGAAATTGAGGCTGCTTTACTTTGGTCACATCATGAGAAGGCCAGATTACCTGGAAAAGACAATAATGATTAGAAAGGTTGAAGGCTGCAGGAAAAGCAGAAAACCAAGTATAAGATGGATTGAGTCTAAAGGAAACCGCAGCTTGAGTTCGTAAGAGCTGAGCAGGGCTGTTGAAAACAGAACCATTTGGAGATTGCTTATTGATAAGATTGTCATAAGTCGGATGCGACTTGGTGACACATAACAACAACAAGGCCTTATCAGAGTCACCTTTAAATATTTCTCTAAAATGGCAGAAATGTGCAACCTGAATTTTTAATGTCCTGTACAGTGGTGCCCCGCATAGCGAGGTTAATCCGTTCCGGATTAACCTTCGCTATGCGAAAACATCGCTGTACGGGGCAGGAAAAGCCTATTGGAACGCATTAAACTTAGTTTAATGCGTTCCAATAGGCGCCAAAACTTACCCCTCCAGTGATGTTTTCGCTGGTCCGGCGGCCGTTTTGGAGCCGCCGAACAGCTGTTTGGCGGCTCCAAAATGGCCGCCGCAATACCCGATCTTCGCAATGCGGGTTTTCCCCATTGCGAAGATCGGGTATGTTTCCGTATAGCGATCCCGAAAAAGGGATCGCTATACGGAAACATCACTATACGGTGCACTCGCTAAGCGAGGCACCACTGTAGTTTGAGATATCCTACAATGATCAAAATTATAAGGATTTTTTTTCCAAAAAAATATGTCTAACATCTTGACTTCTAACATTTGTGCTGCTGAAATTTTGCTGCATTGTTGGACTCACACCATACTTCACAGCAGTATACATTTAGTACATACGCAGTGCAGTAGGCCTTAATACTGCCCACGAGAATAATGGCAGTGCAATTATCAAGAATTCTTCCAAACATTATACAGTTCTTTCCAACTAAAAAGACAAATCTAGGTTTCTCACCAAGTGGCAAGGTATAACACTGCTAGGAGCCAACAACTGTTCCTAGCTTGCTGATGTGTTGTATAATACGAAGGTTCGCAAATGCAAATTTCAGACTTTGCAGTATTGTGTACAGTAAAACTAATTATGTATTCCAGGGATCAGGAATATGTCACCCTCCCTCCAGATGTTACTGGAATATAAATACCATTATCCTTCATCCCTGGCAGTACTAGGTAGGACAAGGGGAAATCCCATATCTGAAGAGTCTCGTGTTCCTGAGCCCTGATGCATGTTATGGTGAGGACCTAAGCACAAGAACCTCCAGTTTAAATCTCACCTCTCCTATCACTTAATTAACTGACTTTAAATCAGTTAATATTTCTTAGTTTCCCCTTTTACAATACTGCATCATCAGAAGACAAAGCACACTGGAAAAGACATGGATGCTGAGGAAAGCTGAAGGCAAAAGGAAAAGAGGATGCATCGACTCAATAAAGGAAACCACTGCCTTGAGTTTGCAACAGCTGATAGGACCTTTTGGAGGTTGCTAGCTCATAAGGCTGCCACAAGTGGCAAGTGACTTGATGGCCATGTAAGTGTGAAGGATGTACATTACAGTGTCGTCCTAACCCATTGAATTAGCTTTCTGGGGGTAGTTAGAATCAAGCCATAGTGCCCCTCTGCCAGCCCTCGGTGGTACAAAGATTTGTTTAGGGAGACTCTTCTCGCCCATGCAACTCTATTGCACCCACTCAGAGCTCTGAAAGAGAATGTTACTACAAAGATTAGGGAGACTCTTCTCGCCCATGCAACTCTATTGCACCCACTCAGAGCTCTGAACGAGAATGTTACTCTGGTAGTTCTCCTGGTGCAATAAGAGTAGTAAGCCTCTCATGGCATGGGGAGGGCAGCAGTACTTTTGGATCTCCTGTTTGCAAAGCCTTGCAGATCCCACAAAGGATTTCTTAGCAGCTACTCCAGTCCAGAGGTGGTGTAAAATTCACCCCATCACTTGTAATGGGCATAATTTTTTTTTTTTTACTTTCTAGTGTACTGATTCCCAAAATGAGGCTCCCAGTGTTCTTGGACTGCAATTCCCTAGCTAGCACATCCAAATTGTTAGGGCTTTCCAGAGCTGTACTCCAAAAACTTGAGGCCGAAAGTCTGAGAACTTCTAACGTGGAAATCAAACATCTACCATTTTTCACATTTGGAATTTTATACTTCTCGATGTTTGTGGTCAGTTCGGAGGAATATTTGATAAGTTTTAACTTCATTCCTATGTTCTCCACTTGATTTTATTGAATTTTTCATTGACAGGAAATTTTTATGCAATTAATATTGCAGTGGGTATTCAGACATGGCATTTGTGCCCCAGTGCTGTGAATGTTGGGCTTTGTTGCCAACAAGCTGGGAAAGCTTGACCAATCAGAGAGAAATTAATAGATTTCCCATAAATATTTATCCTCCCTT